GAAGACGAACCGCGCTCTGGACGACCATCAACGTCTACCGACGAGGGCCACGTCCAAAAAATCGAAGATTTGGTGCTTGAAAATCGTCGATTGACAATGAGAGACCTCGCTGATAGTGTTGGAATATCATTTGGCTCAGTCCAAACCATTTTGAAGGATGTTTTGTGTCTCAAACGCGTCAAGTCTCGATTGGTGCCATGTCATACTGCATTGGTTCTTCGCGACTTTTTTGCCAAAAACTCGACTCATATCGTTCCGCAACCACCGTATTCGCCTGATTTGGCTCCGTGCGACTTCTGGTTATTCAGCAAACTCAAAAGGCCGATGCGGGGACGCCGTTTTGACACGATTGAGGAGATAAAAACCGAATCTTGAAGGCTATACCGGAAAAAGACTATTCCGACTGTTTCGAGGACTGGAAAAAGCGTCGGAAACAGTGCGTTTTATCGGACGGGGATTACTTTGAAGGGGATGAAATTGATTTGGAAGAATAAATAAAGAATTTACATTTTATAAACAAATTCACCTTACTTTTTGATCACAGTAGTATGATCGGCGTGACACGGGAGATCGAAGGAACGTCAGAACTTGTGAGTGCATTAACATCTTGTCTGACAAATTACAATATCCGTAGCTCTCGAAACTTCAAAGTACATTTAGTCGAGGAGACTGAAACTAGAATGTTCGAATCGATCGAGATAGCGCGCTTGAATGTTTCATAAGATTTTGGTTCTGAATCTGATCGAAGAACGGTGCCATCCGCGTGTGATCGACGCGAATTAAATTCCAATTTTTAAGTTAACATTTTAACTTCAATTTTGGATATAGATGTACAGGGTGGGCCACGCAACGGGATCAGCTGAATTTATTCCGTCGTTAATGGTTCGATTCAGTCAAGGCCAACTTCAGTTTTTTATAGGTTCACCTACAGTTTTTTTGTACCCGTCGTTTCGGGGATGCTAAGACAAATTCGGCAAGCATCATAACATGTAGTTTACTGGGAATCTAACAAAAATGTATATTTACTTATAAAAAAACCTTGAAATAACTCTGGAAAAAGGGTTGATAAATAATTATGAAACATCCCTTTGAAGGGTTCATGTTTAAGGGTAGTATCTCATTCTAATGAAAAAAGCTGTGACCTCCAAAACCCTCATCTTATTTATAAATAAAAATACATAATTAAGAAATTTATGAATTTGGCAGTCAATGTGTTGATAATTCATTTTTGAAAACATATTACAAGATAATTAGTTGATACAAAACCTACCATGGTTAAATGTCTGGTTTCTCGCTTTACAATTATAAAAATTATAAAGACGCTGATCTTTTAACGCTCTCATTTGTGTATGTCACGAGAACACTGACAAAGAATACAGAAAATTCTCCTTAATTGACCCTCAACTTAGAAACAAAGATGGACAATTTGGGAAGAGGAGATACAATTATTTAAGCCTTGCGGCTCGTTTTTATAGTTGGTGACTACCGGTTACTATAAAAACGAGCCGTAGGGCTTGAATAATCGTATCTCCTCTTCCCAAATTGTCCATTTCTTATTACAATCTGAGGGACAATTGGAGAGAATTTACTCTATCGCCAAATCCATGGGCAGTCTCGATTCTTTCGAGAATCCCGACTTTTTCGAGGATCCTCAAAGTTTCCGAAAACCATCCTAACCTCGAAAACATTTCTCGTCTCGGCCCGACCCGACATTTTCGGGTTTTCGCACACCTCTACTCCTCGCTTATTCAGACTCTGTTTAAACAACTGCCTTGATTTTGTAATCTTGTAGACAAATGATAATTTCGAAAAGTATCATTTCCCAATGGCGCTTGCGAATGCGCTCGCAAAAGAAGAGAACAACGATTGAAAGTAACCCGCGATTTTAGGAGCGATCGCACTTGATTGATTTCTTCGTTTCCACGCCTCGTTATATATCATATTTATATATGATATAGTTATATTATAAA